TGGGAGGCCGAGACGGGCGGATCACGAGGTCAGGAGATAGAGACCATCCTGGCTAACACGGTGAAACCCCGTCTCTACTAAAAAATACAAAAAAACTAGCCAGGCGAGGTGGCGGGCGCCTGTAGTCCCAGCTACTCGGGAGGCTGAGGCAGGAGAATGGCGTGAATCCGGGAGGCAGAGCTTGCAGAGTGGAGATCGCACCACTGCACTCCAGCCTGGGCAACAGAGCGAGACTCCGTCTAAAAAAAAAAAAAAAAAAAAAGTGAAGAAGGGACAGGGGACCATCTACATTGTGTAATAAAGAAAACATCATCTTTAACACCACTGGTAAGACTGATGACACCATCTGCTTTCTAACTCTTCCACCTTTTGTCTTTCACTTGTTTCTTTTCAACCATATCTACCACTTTTTCAATTGAAATGGCATAGTATTGGCCGGGTGCAGTGGCTCATGCCTGTAATCCTAGCACTTTGGGAGGCCAAGGGAGGCGGATCACCTGAGGTCAAGAGTTCGAGACCAGTCTGGCCAATATGGCAAAACCCCATCTCTACAAAAAATAAAAAATATTAGCCAGGCATGGTGGCAGGTGCCAGTAATCCCAGCTACTTAGGACGCTGTGGCAGGAGAATCACTTGAACCTGGCAGGCGGAGGTTGCAGTGAGCCAAGATCATTCCACTTCACTCCAGCTTGAGCAAAAGAATGAGACTCCATCTCAAAAAAAAAAAAAAAAAAAAAAAAAAAGGCATAGTATTATATGAATATGGTACAGGACACAATGATATAGATTTATGTCTCTGCATGGGGCTGGAATGCTCAACACATTTTTAAATTGGAACCGTACATTGAGATATGTCTTTAGGGGCTGTGCCTCTCAAGACTCTTATTTCGAGATTTGTCAATGAGTGCCGTAATACTGCACATGGACAGTCACTTATGGAGGAGATCAATACAAATGGTTCAGAAAATCTTGATACCACAGGAGAGAAGAAGGGAAAGATTCTCTATGGATAATTTTAGACTCTTGGTTGAGGGTGCCTAATACTCTTACCATTTATATATTTGTTTATATTAAGTAATATTTTACCCTTTTTGTATATGGGATTTTTAAGATGTATCTTAAAGCAACATTTAGTTTAATATATAATTGAAATGTAGATAATTTTGGAAACATATATTAAAGTGGCAACTTTCACATACCATTTTGCTTGCTTGCTTTCTTTCCTATCCCCTGCTAACAAATTATTATACAATTTCTTATGCTTATTGAAGTTACAGGCATCGATATTTTCTGACAATTTGACAAGCTAACATGGAGAAAATGAGTTAAGTGACATAGTATCAGCTGTGAGTTTGTGATGAGATGCCTTCTTGTATCTTCAAATTGTTTATACAAGTTGTATATTTTCTACTAGCATGACTCTATAAAGATCTGATTGATATTCCTTATTTACAAATTGGCTGCATGTTTTCTTAAACTGATTAAAATACACAAGTATAATTTGAATATGGAGTTAACTTTGATTTATTTTGCATTTATTTAATTGCCTTTGCAAAAAGGAAAATGTCAAATAAATATGGGTGTAGAAAGAAAGGCACAGCCCCACCCAAAATGTCCCCATACCAAAGCCAAGTTACTTGGTCCTACGGAGAATCAAATGAGGACATAGGCCTCCAGCGCCTGTGTGGCTATTCACCAGTTGCCTACTTTACCTCAGGGAAGTTAAACACTTCCTCACATTTCAATTTAGTCATGTAACAATGAAAGTAATAATACCTTTCTCTCAAATTGTTTTTGGCTTTAATGAGACAGGGATATAATAATGCTTGATAAGGTAACTGTACAAATGTAAGGTAATGCTGTTATTTTATGAAGTCGGGAGACATGGATATATAAGGGGTTAATCAGGAGAGTGCCAGAGAAGAAGCCGTATGTTTCTCATAGGACTACATTCACCACTTCAGGCTCACTGAGTCACACACGCTTAGAAATAGGATATTTTACTAACATTCCACAAACCACACAACTGGATTGAAGAAAAACTAACTGGAAAAGAGACTGTGGAATGTACTGGAAGGGATATGGACGCTGTTTTGTATTCAGAAGAGAACACTGTAAAGATCTTTTAAGCCTCCAAAGAAAATTTGGGGATTATTTTCTTCTAGTACCTTAATTGTTTCCTTGAGAAGCAAAATAAACATTAATTTTTCTAGGACACGAGGTGACTATTAAGTATAGAGAAGCTTATGGTAAATTTTAAAAATAATAATACATGCAATTAACTAGGAGGATACAATTAGATGTCTCCATTTAACATTTAATTATAATAGAAAAATGATAATCCCATTATGATTGATTTTGGATCCTGATTATGTTTTTGAAAGTCTCCCAGAAGCAGAGATGGCTGTGAAAGTATTTGTGAAAGTGCAGCCATAAAGAAGGTTAACATACAAAACAATAAATATACATTTATTTGGTTCACATATAGAAAACGAGCACTGGGTCCATATTTGAGAAAGTTAGCTATAAAGAAAGGCAATATTCCAAAGAATAAATCTATACAATGCATTAATATGTGAATTGATACATAGAATATCAACAGTATCCATGTATAATACTATACATTAATAGGTTCCCAGGGCTTTCTTTGTGCCAATCAATACTTAGCCTTAAGGATATACAGTTATGAAGTCCTAGGCAAATGGAGACATAAGCCTTAGAAATTTTACCATATTACTGGTATTTAAAAAGTAAAATATATACACACTGAGAAAAAATATAGAGATACAACACTTTTAAAAAATTATAATCTAGCACATAATGCTTTCTTAAGTAAATATTTTTTTAAATGTACAGTTAGGTACTTATACATATAAAGTTAAATATATAGTTAACCACCCACAAACATCACATGTTTACAGGTATGTGTGTTACAAGTCAAATCAAAATCTGTGGCCCAATCAAAGGGAGTGCTATAGAAAAATATTAGATTATCTTATGAAAACTTTGTTAATCTTTTTATTACTGAACCTATAAGGCAAAATAAAACTCTAGCATTAGTTTTCCTTAAATATATTAATAAACTATCCAGAACTTTCATTTCTTTTTTCCTTTTCTTTTTTTTTTTTTTTTTTTTGAGACAGAGTCTTACTCTTTCACCCAGGCTGGTGTGCAATGGCATAGTCTTGGCTCACTGCAACCTTTGCTTCCTGGGTTCAAGCAATTCTCCCACCTCAGCCTCCCGAGTAGCTGGGACTACACGCACATGCCACCACACCGGGCTAATTTTTGTATTTTTAGTAGAGACAGGGTTTCACCATGTTGGCCAGGTGAACTCCTGAACTCCTGAACTCATGATCCACCCGCCTCGGCCTCCCAGAGTGCTGGGATTACAGGCATGAGCCACCACACCCGACCGGAACTTTCATTTCTTAAACGTTAAAAATTGGTTTTTAAATGTATGTACATGTTTCCTCATGACTCCTTCAGGAGAGTTGGAGGCTTAATTTAGATGGTCATCCCAGTTTTTCCATGATTTTCTTATTAGTTTTAATAAGCAATTTGATTGTGAATGACTAAAGTAAACAACATTTAATTTTCTTACTACTTATATACCAAGAAGTCATAGACATTAATTACAGTTATAAAAGTATCTTTTAAAATATGAACGGTGAGTGAGTATAAGAAATACTAGTACAGAAGTAAAAGGAAGAAAAAACACAATTATGAGAAGGGGGATATAAAGAAGTAAAATGCTAAGGCATTATTCTCAGTTGTGGCTCTAGATAAACAATTATTTAGAAACCTTTTAGGGTTTGAATGAATGCTAGTGTTATTGATGACAAAATAAAATATAATAATGAAAGTAGGACTAATAATATAATTTTAGCACTTCTAATTCTGTAAACTTTGTTGAGCTGACTCCTGAAAAAGTTGAGGTTAGGGGCACCAACCCACCTTACCCCTTAATCCCAGAGCTCACCCCCCAAATAGGCAAAAATCTTTGTATAACTTGACTCCCCCAAAATGTAACTACTAATAGCCTAGTATTATCCAGAAGTCTTACTGATAACATGGTTGAAGAACACATATTTTATATGTTATATGTATTGTATACTGTCTTTTTACATTAAGCTAGAGAAAACAATATTAAGAAAGTCATAAGGAAGAGAAAATACACGTACAATGCTGTACTGTATTTATTGATATCTAAGTTTATGTAATTTGATTACAAGATGAATTGTCTAAAATGGTGGGAAACTGCAGCTGCAGACCAATCTAGGGTGCATATCAAGTAATTCAACTTGTTTTTAATGTCATTTCCTCTGCTTCTTGGGAGCACTTCCAGCAACACTAGTGGCACTTAATATGAGTCCCATGGTGTTATTTAAGGTTTATGGTATTACACTAAACATGATGAAAAACAAGCAATAGCCATGAGAGATGACTTTTTACTATGACATGCAATTTACTGAACAGACGAACTGCTCGGCAGAAGAGTTTAGCATCACAGGGCATTTTAAGCAAATACTCCCAACACTTGAGCTCAGGGTAATAGCAACAGGAGGTGGCTGTGAAATTATTACAGTAATATAGTATTTACTACAGCTAATTTATGCAGTTATGATTTAATACTGCATCTTTACATTTGTTTACTCTTGACTGAATGTCACTGTATATGGTCTGTGTTTGTGGGGTAATGTTTAAATAATGGATTTATGTATATTTTATGGTAGTAAATGATAAAACAGACAAATATCTACATATATTTTATGCATTCATGACATACTTAACTTTTTCTTAAGTCTCTTGAGATTTCTAGACTCCACAGCTCATCTGTGAGTTTTTTCAAATTGTCACAAATCTCCAAAATTTTTCCAATATATTTGTTGAAAAAAAAAAAATCTGTGCATGTATATTCATTCATTCAGTTCAAATCCATATTGTTGAAGGGTCAAATGTGTATATATAAGGAGATTTATCATAAGGTATTGACTCACTTGACTATGGAGGGTGAGAAGTCCCACAATCAGCCATCTTCAGGCTAGAAACCCAGAAAAGTCAATGGAACAGTTCAAAGGCTCGATGGCTGGGGAGTTGATGGTATAGATTCCGGTCTGAAACTGAGCCTGCAAACCAGGAGCAGTGAGGACAGGAGACTATCAGGAGAATATCAGTGTCTAAGCTCTGCAGTCAGGCAGAGTGAATTCAATCTTCCTCTGCCTTTATATCCTATTCAGACCCTCAACAGATTAGCTGATGCCCACCCACACTGGAGAGGGCCATTTGCTTTACTCAGTTCAATTCAAATGCTGATCCTTTCCAGATATATCCTCATAGACCCTCCCAGAAAAAAAAAAAATAAGTGTCTAAAAAGATATTTGGGCATCCCAGATGTGCCCTAGCTGGATTAATACATATAATTAGCCATCAGAGTCTGCTAGTTTCAATACTGGTTTAATAGCAACATCGGACTTAGTTGATATCTTTACTTGAAAATGTTTTCCCTTCTTTTGATGTTGGAGATTCTGGGCTCTGTTATTTTTCTGTGATGACTGGTGTTTTTCCGTGATACCGGGTAGTTTTCTGGAGTAGGTTGAACAGCAAGCCCTGTTTCTTGTGCAGCAGCACCATTCCCTGGTCTAACCTTTTTTCTTAATTTAGGCTCCTTCGATTCTGTTTTGTGCATGTGCAGAGATATGGATACACGGTTTAGAGATTCCTTTTGGACTCAATCTCTTTAGCAATCCCCATACTTCCTTCAGTGTTTATGATCCCCTGGCTTCTCTTTTCTAGTTCTTCAAACACAAGGACCACAGTTTTCCCATAGGTACTTCCTCCTTTTCCTCCAATATGTCCAACATACCCAGCCCATGGAGCTGTGCTTAGCCCCAGACTAAATGCTAAAGAAATAGGAGTCAAGTTCTCTGTCTGCCCTCTTTCAAATGAATGTGCATTCTAACATGGGCTATCTGTTGCTGCTCACTCTCCAGGATTGTTAGTGTGGCATCTTTAGTCTAAGCTTAAATATTTTAGTTTTGGCTGAGTTGCTTTGAGTTTGTTCCATCCATGCCTCCTTCAGCAATCAGTCAGAGAAGGAGATAGAAAGATTTCAGAGATACTCTCCCTGGGTTTTTTTTCCATTCCAGATTTCTCCCTTTTTAGCATCTCCTTTTCTCTTTTTTAGCATTCATAATTTTTCCCTGTTTCATGTTTGTTTCACAGGATAGAAAGATTATGGGGTGAAGTTCCTGCCAGATTTATATTTTACTGTCCTACTCTTTACTGTCTACAGGTAGTTACTATAAGTAATATGGCCAGGTGAGGTCATCTGGCAGGGTCTTAGTCCATCAAATCCAGAACCATGATTTTTGAAACAGTTTTATTGAGCTATGATGGGCAAATATTATAATTTATTGAGATCCTTAAGGTGTACTATTTTAAGTAGGTGTGTACACTCATGAAATCACCAAAATGATAAAGATAATAAACATACTAATCACCCTGCAACTTTTTTTGAACTTTTTTCATTCAGCATAATTTTATTTTTTTTCTGCAAAGCCCCAGCATAATTATTTTGAGATTCATCTCTGTCACTGTAGCTCATTCATTTTTACTACTAAATAGTATTCATTGTATGGATGTGCTATAGCTGGATTATCTATTTGCCTGTTGATGAATATTTAGGATATTCCTACATTTTAATCATTACACATAAAGCTTCAATAAGTATTTGTGTACAAGTGTTTTTATGGACACATACTTTCATTTTTTCTTGAGTAAAAACCTAAAAATGTAATGCCTGGATTATATAATAGTTTATGTAAAAATTTTTAGTAAAACTGCCAATGTGTTTTTCAAAATTATTGATTGTACCATTTTATATTACTAAAAGCAGTGTATGATTGCTTACTTATTTAATGTGGAGAGTTCTTTATATATTCTGTATAAAAGTCCTTCAAGAGATATAGAATTTGGAAATATTTTCCCCAGGAAGTAGCTTGGCTTTTAATTTTATTAACAGTGTCTTTAAAAGAGGAGAAATATTTTATTTTGAAGTTTAATATGTTAAATTTTTCTTTAAGAATCATACTCTGACTGTTATAGTTAAAGATATTTGCCTAAACTAAGATCAAAGATAGTTTATTATATGTTTTATTCTAGAAGTTTTAGAGATTTGTGTTTTATATGTAGTATACAATGTATTTTGAATTTTTTTTATATGGTGGCACATAGGTAATGCAGTTATTTTTACATTTTAATATATGGACATCAATTATTCCAGATGGTTTACTAAAAAGGCTATTCATTTTCCATTTGTTATCCAATTTTATAAAAAATCAGTTGTCCAAATATTAGTGAGAATATTTATGAACTCTATTTTGTTTCATTTATTTTTCTATTTTTATGCTAATACCACATTCTTTTAATTATCAAAACTGTATAATAATACTTTACATCACAGCGTGTAGTATTATTTCTTTACCTTGTTTTTCCCTTGCAAAGTTGATTTGGAACCACCATGAAAAATTGACCAAATTACAGAAGATAGCAAGAGAGAAAGAAAGGAAAAAATGATGTATTAGTTAAAAAACAATTAACAAAATGGCATTAGTAATAAGTCCCTGCCTATTAATAATTACTTTAAATATAAATGTATGAAGTTCTCTAAAGACATGGAGTGGCTAAATGAATATAAGAAAAACCAAATGATATTCTGCCTACAAGAAACTCATTTTAGCTTTAGGGGCACACATAAGCTAAAAGTGAAGGGGTAGAGAGAGATATTACATAAAAACAGTAACCAAAAGAGAACAGAGGGGATCATACTTACATTAGATAAGAAAAAGTTAAGTCAAAAATCGTCATGATACAAAGAAAGGTATTTTATAATGATAAAGGGGTCAATTCATCAAGAAGATATAAAAATTATAGATATTGATGCACTCAACATCAGAATACCTATATATGTAAAATAAATACTAACAGAACTGAAAGGAGAAATAAATAAAAATGCAACAATAGTAGAGAGTCTCCACACCCTACTGTCAACAATGGATAGAACATCCAGGCACAAAATCAAGGAAACAGCAGATTTGAATAACACTGTAGATCAAATAGACCTAACAGACATATATAGAAAATTTCACCCAGCAGAAGCAGAATATACATTCTTCTTAAGTGCACATGAAACATTCTCCAAAAACTAGTCTTGACAAATTCAAGAAGATTGAGCTAACATTAAGCATATTTTCTGGGCACGATAGTATGAAATGAGAAATCAGTAACAAGAGGCATTTAGGAAAAGTCACAAATACATAGAAAATCAAATAACTTCTAAACAACCAATGGATCAAGGAAGAAACCAAAACAGTAATAACAATATCTTGAGATAAATTAAAATGTAAACACAACATACCAAAGCTTATGAGATAGCAAAAATAGTCAGAAGAGGGAGACTTATTAGCCTACATGATTTTTAAAAATTCAAATAAACAACCTATCTTTACACATTAAAAAACTAGAGAAAGCAGAATAAACTAAATCCATAGTTTGCAGAAGACAGGCTATAATAAAGATTAGAGTAGAAATTAAAAAAATAGAGAATAGGAAAGCAATAGAAAAGATTGACAAAACTAAGACTGGTTTGTTGAAAAGATAAACAAAAATACAAACCTTTAGCTAGGCTAATCAAGAAAAAAGAGAAAATACTCAAACAGAATTGTATAGAGAAGACATCACAATTGATAATACAGAAATACAAATAATCCTAAGAGACTACCATGAATAATTATACTCCCCATAAGATGTATAACCTAAGAGAAATAGATTCTTAGCAATATACAACCTACCAACACTGAATCACGAAGAAATACAAAATATGAATAGATCAATAACAAAGATTTTGATTCAGTATTCAAAAATCTCCCCAGGAATAAAAGCCTAGGACCAGATGGCTTCACTTGTGTGTTCTATTTAAAGATTTAGTGTCAATTCTCAAATTCTTTCAAAAAAATTCAAGAGAAGGGAATGCTTCCAAGCTTATTTTACAAGGCCAGTATTACCCTGACTCCAAAATCAGATTAGTATATTAAAAGAAATAAAATTAAAAGTCAATATTCCTGATAAACTTTGTGTAAAACTTCTCAAAAATTAATATCAAACCAAATTCAATGATGACCATTAGATAATACACCATAATCAAGTGGGATTTATCCCTGGGATGCAAGGATAATTCAATATATGCCAATCAATAAATGTGGCATACCACATTAACACAATGAAGGATAAATCATCTGATCATCTCAATATATGAAGAAAAAGTAGCTGACAAAATTCAATATTCTTTCATAACAACTCTCGACAAACTAGGCATGAAGAAATTTACTTCAATATAATAAAGGCTATATATATGTAATTTCTAGTAAATATCATGCTCCCTAGTAAAATGAGGAAAGCATTTTCTCTAAATAAAGAACAAGACAAAGATACCCACTCTCACAGTTTCTATTCATGATTGTTCTAGAAGTCCTAGCAAGAGCAATTAGGCAAGAGAAAAGAAATATGCAAATCAGAAGGGAAGAAGCCAAATTGTCTGTTTTCCAATGACATTGTGTTATTTATAGATAACCCTAAAAACTTCACCAAAAAACTGTGAGAACTAATAAACGAATCTAGCAAAGTTGGAGGAATAAAAAAAAAATACAAAAATTAGTAGCATTTTTATATACTAACAAGCTACCTGAATATGAAATCAAGAAAACAATCCATTACAATAGGTTAGAAAACAATAAAATACCGAGAAATCAATTTGACCACGGAGGTTGTAGACTTTATAGAGCTGCTACACTAAAAATTATAAGATACTGATAAAAGAAGTTGAAAACACAAATAAACAGAAGGCTGTTCTATATTAATGGATTAGAAGAATATTATTAAATATCCATGCCTCCCAAAGCAATTTATTAAATGCAATCCCTAAAAATATTCCAATGCATTTTTTATGGAAATAGAAAAAAAACAATTCTATGATTTGTATAGAAGCATGAAAGACTTCAAATAGCCAAAGCAATCTTGAGAAAGAATAAAATGAACAGCATCACACTTCCTGATTAAAACTATATTACAAAACTATAGTAATCAAAATAATATGGTGCTGACATAACAACTGATACATACACCAGTGGGACAGAATTGTGACCTGAGATAAACCCATGTATATATAGTCAAGTAATATTTGACAAGAATATACCATGAAGAAATATTTTCAATAAATGTTTATAAATTTCTTAATTTTTAATTTTTGTGAGTACATATAGGTGTATATATTTATGGGGTACATAAATGTTGGGACAACTGAATATTCACAAGCAAAAGAATGTATTTGGAGTCCTATGATATACTACTCACAAAAATTAACCTGAAATTGATTAAAGATTTAAATGTAAGTCCTGAAGTCATAAAACTCTTAAAAGAAAACATAGGAGAAAAGTTCTTCAACATTGCTCTTGACAATGATTTTTTTTTAATGTGACAATAGTCCACATAACAAAAGCAACAATAACAAATGGGTCTGCATCAAACTAAGAAGATTCTGCACAGCAAAAGAAAACAATATGCAAAATGAAAAAGCAATCGATAGAATGAAAAAAAAAATGTTTGCAAACTATGTATCTGATAAAAGGTCAATATCCAAAATACGTAAGGAACTCACACAACTCAATAGCAAAACAAAAACAAACAAAATAAACAAACAGATAATACCAAACCAAATATACTTTGACTAAAAAATGGGCAAAGGACCTACACAAAAAAATTTCCAAAGACGATATACAAATGGCTAAACAGCACATGAAAAGATTTTCAACATTACCAATTATCAGGAAAATCCAAATAAAAGCCACAGTAAGGTATTACCTCATGCCTGTTATAATGGCTATTATCAAAAAGACACAAATAAGCATTGGCAAAAATATGGTAAAAAGAGAACCCTGCTATGCTGCTGGTGGGAATGAAAATTGATACTGTCAAAAACAGTATAGAGGTTCCTCAAAAAATTTAAAAATACAACTACTCTAGCTCTTCCTCTTCTGGGTATATATCTTAATTTTTGTCTGTTTGTTTGTTTTTTGTTTTTTGAGACGGGGCCTCGCTCTGTCCCCCAGGCTGCAGTGCAGTGGTGCGATCTCCACTCTGCAAGCTCCGCCTCCCAGATTCACGCCATTCTCCTGCCTCAGCCTCCCCAGTAGCTGGGACTACAGGCACCCGCCACCTCGCCTGGCTAGTTTTTTTTGTATTTTTTAGTAGAGACGGGGTTTCACCGTGTTAGCCAGGATGGTCTCGATCTCCTGACCTCGTGATCCGCCCGTCTCGGCCTCCTGAAGTGCTGGGATTACAGGCTTGAGCCACCGCACCCGGCCTCTTCTGGGTATATATCTAAAGGAAATGAAATCAGTATCAGAATCTTGAAAAGTAATCTTCATTCCTTTGTTCATTATTCACAATAGCCAGGACATAAAAACAATCTAAGTGTCTGTCAAGAGAAGGATGAATTTTTAAAATAGGATATATTTCATATACATACACAGAGTATGCACACAATGGAATATTATTCAACCATAAAAAATAAGACAGAGACAAACACTGTATCCTCTCTCTTATATGTGAAATCTAAAATGGTAAATGTATAGAAGTTGAGATTAAAATGTTGGTTGCCAATGGCTGGAAGGTGAGGGAAATGGGAACATAATGGTCAAAGGGAACAAAATTTCATTTATAAGATAAATAAGTTCTTGAAATCTAATGTAAAGCCTGTTGACTACAGTTAAAAAATATTTTTTGTATAATTGTATACAATTATAATTATACAAAATTGTATAATTGTAAATTGCTAAGATAATAGATCTTAAATGTTCTGAATATACATGCACAGACAGACTAGTAAATAGGTGAAGTGATGAATGTGTTAAATAACTTGATTGTGGTAATTATTTTACAAAATTTACATATACCAAATCATCACATCATACACCTTAAATTTATACAATTTTATTTGTCAGTTATACCTCAATAAAGCTGGAAAATAAGTAAATAAAAAGAAAGCTCATCTATTCACAGCTGAAAACAAAACAAAACAAAAAAGATTTGGCAATTCTAGGTTATTTACATTTCCATAGGAATTTCAGAACATGTACATTTCTACAAAAACAGTTGACTAAGATTTTGATTGTGATCATCTTGAAGTTATATATCAATTTAGACAGAATTGACTTTCTTTTTCTTTTTTTTTTTTTTTTTGAGACGGAGTCTTGCTCTGTCACCAGGCTGGAGTGCAGTGGCGCAATCTCGACTTACTGCAACCTCCACCTCCTGGGTTAAAGCGATTCTCCTGTCTCAGCCTCCCCAAGTAGCTGGGACTACAGACACACAACACCACACCCAGCTAATTTTTGTATTTTTAGTAGAGACGGGATTTTGCCATGATGACCAGGATAGTCTTGATCTCTCTCCTTCTCTCTCTCTGTCTCTCTCTCTCTCTCTCTCTCTTTTTTTTTTTAAGACTGAGTCTCGCTCTGTTGCTAGTCTGGAGTGCAGCGGCACAATCTCGGCTCACTGCAACCTCTGCCTCCTCGGTTCAAGCCATTCTCCTGTCTCAGTCTCCCAAGTAGCTGGGACTACAGGCACACACCACCATGCCTGGCTAATTTTTGTATTTTTAATAGAGACGGGGTTTCACCGTGTTGGCCTGGATGGTCTCGATCTCTTGATCTCGTGATCCGCCTGCCTCAGCCTCCCAAAAGTGCTGGGATTACAAGCATGAGCCACCATGCCCAGACTTGATCTATTGACCTAGTGATCCGCCCGCCTCGGTCTCCCAAAGTGCTGAGATTACAGGCATGAGCCACCGGGCCAGGCCAAGAATTGACATCTTAACAGGATTGAGTCCTCCAACACAATAGCATGGCCTATTTTTCACAAAGACCTTCTTAAATTTCTTGCAATAATATTTTGTAGTTTTCAGTGTATAGTTCTGCATATATTTTGTTACATATATTTCTAAGTATTTAATTTTTGATATTATAGCAAATTATTTTGTTAATTTTAATTTTCAGTTGTCCTCTCCTAATACAGAAAGATACAATTGACTTTTGATGCTTGATCTTATTTCCTGCAACATTACTAAACTCTAGTTCTAGTTGTGTTTTTGTGTATTCTACCAGATTTTCTACTTAATCTTGTACTTGGTGAATAAAAATATTTTCTTTTTTTCATTTATTACCAGAATATTTATACAATTGACCATTGAATGATACAGGTTTGAACTGCATGGGTCTACACATAAATAATTTTTTT